AGGGGCCGTTAGGGACCACCGAGGTGCGGGGGGGGGCGGCCGTTCGGTGTAGAGTGGCAGCTTGAGGGCGAGGCGCTATCAGGTCGTAAAGCGCCCGCGCGCTTGCGAATGCGCGGCAGAACAACGGAAGCGGGGACAACCCCCGCGTCCCCGAAAGGTGAATAGCAGGAAGGCCCCGCCTCGCCCCCTCAGCCACAACGACACGCGACCCGCAGACTCCCCGCGAGAGAGAGAGAGAGAGAGAGAGAGAGAGAGAGAGAGAGAGAGAGACGTGTAGTGCGTGGCAGCCCGCGCCCCCGCCGCCGAGGACGAGCCCAAACGTCATTCCGGCGAGCGAGCGCGCCAGCCGGTGCACGTCCGAGAGGTAGTGCTGCGCCTAGAAGGTTCCTAGAAGGTGCCTAGAAGGTTCCTAGCCGGCGCACGTCCGAGAGGTAGTGCTGCGCGTCGTACGAGTCGTCGCCGAGGTGCAGCCGTACGTGGTGGTGCCTACGGCTCGGGCGAGCCTTCTAGGAGACTTCTAGGAGACTTCTAGGAGACTTCTAGGAGACTTCTAGGAGACTTCTAGGAGACTTCTAGGGGCGGTGTGCCTACGCTCGAGTGGCCTCGGCTGATCTCAGCCAACCTCGCCGTCGAGGTGCAGCCGCGCGGAGGGGGGGAGGGCGGTGCGTCCGGATAGCGGAGCGCTGCTCGAGCCAGGCGCGCGTCCCCTTTGGCCGCGCGTGCTGCCCGCGGTGCAGCAGCACAAGCTCGCGGGCCGCGGGGGCGCGGTCCTCGTTGAGAAGCGCCTCGATCGGCTGCACCGCGTGCGGAGGCAGGCCGCCGCCGCCTAGAAGGCACCTAGAAGGCTCCTAGACGGCTCCTGGAAGGCCGCCGCGTGCGGGGGCGGGCCGCCGCCGCCGCCGCCGCCGCCGCCGCGCATCGCGCGCAGCACCTCACGCAGAACGCCGCCGCCGCCGCCGCCGCCGCCGCCGCCGTCGAGCGAGGAGGAGCTCGTGGTGGCCCCATGCGCCGGCGCGGCGGCGGCGTCGACGTCGACGTCGGTGGCGAGTCCGACGAGGAGGACGAGGTCGGCGTTGCGCAGGCAGCGGCGCGTCCAGTCCGAGGGGAAGGGGTCGGCGCGGCAGAGGAGGAGCTGGTGGCGGGACTCGAGGGCGGCGAGGTGGAGGGAGAGCTCGATCTCGCCGAACGGCGCGAAGGTGGCGAGCGCGATGTCGAGCTCTTCGTGCAGCGAGCCCGAGGAGAGGAGCAGCGTCCGCACGCGCATCAGCTGCAGCGCGCGGTGCAGCGCGCCACACCTAATTAACAGTGAGTTAACAGTGAAGTAACAGTCAGTTAATAGCGCGCGGTGCAGCGCGCCACACATGTAGTCGAGGGCGCGGGAGAGGTCCTTGCCGGAGGAGAGGGGGAGCAGGCAGACGGTCCGCACGTCGCGCGCCGGCGCGGGCATCCCCGCCGGAAGCCCCGCTGCCGGCGCGGGGCCGCGGGCGCGCCGCGCGAGCCGCCGGCCGAGGGCGAGCAGGAGCTGCGGGTGGCCGACGGCGGCGGCGCGGATGACCGAAGCGGAGAGGGAGATGACCTGCGTGTCGCGCACGGCCACCGCCCTCCGCGCGCCCGAGCGCGTGTTGAGGAGCACATCCTCCTCGCCGTATCTGCAGAGGACAGAGGGGGGCGGGCCGGTCCAGAGGAGGAGAGGGCCGACGGTGGACAGCCGCGCGGGGGGCGGCGCACTAGTCACGCGCGAGCAGCTCGGACGAGACATGGGGAGAGAGGGGGGGAGATGGGGAGAGATGGGGAGAGATGAGGAGAGGTGGGGAGATACGGGGAGATATGAGGAGATATGCGCACGAGTCACGGGCGAGCAGCTCGGACGAGCCGCTCGGGGGCGCGCCTCCCGCCGCCGCCGCCGCCGCGCCGTCGGCAGGCTCGTTCTCCGAGGCCGCGAAGAGGCGCAGCCGGCCGCACTGCACGATGAGCACGCTCGGCTCGCCGTCGAGGTCGTCGGTGGCCTGCCCGCGGCCAGAGGGAGTGAGGCGCT